AGTTTCGCGAGAGCGGGTTTTGGCGAGAGCAAAGCTGTCTGAGGATCTCCTTTTCCTTGGCTGTAATGGAGGAACAATCAGGCTTTCTTGCGAAAATTCGGGTCTCACGCGGTTCCTAACGGCGACAACAGAGGAAGAAGCGGAGTGGCCACCATATGTTACGACGTTGACGTTGCTGTCCTCGGTTTGTGGACGTGTGCTGATATGTAAAGAAGCCTCAGCCGAGGAAGGATCCCCGAGTAGCTCAATATTGGAATGGATCGATGAGGGTGGCAGACTATTAAGGTCTGCTACATTCATAGGAGAGCTGAATCCATATGTTTTGACATTCGTTCTCTCAGAGAAGGTTGATCTGGTTTGTTCGGATAATGAAGATTGAAAGGATGTCTTTTGAGTGAGCCACTGAGAAGAAGGACCGGCCTCATGATCAGGCAGATCAACCTCTGGCAGCGTGGGCAGAGGCAACTCGGGTGGAGCGTCTTGAGTCTGCGGCTGTTTTTGCTTCACGTCAGGTGTTTTAGGTACTTTACGGAGACCCCCAAATAAACGATAGTTCCATGGAGATGAGTTTGAGTTGTCCGGGGTGGACGGATCTTGAGGCCGAGGTGAAATAACTGGAGAACTGGCGTTTCGTTCCGTGAGAGGAGTCATAGGCGAGGCTGGACGGCTCTGGCGATCATCACTGTATGTACCCATTGATCCTCGACCATAAGATGTGTTACCAGTGGTGAAGGATGGGGGGAGAGACCAGAGAGATTCAACCCTTGACGACATAGAAGCATCTTGAGGAAGTATGGAGAAGGTCTTATCGGCGTGAACATTAATGACCCTTTTGCGAGAAGGAGGTCTTGGTGAAGTTGAGGGTTCCCGGGAAGGTGGGTGTGAAGCATAAGAAGTATGATCATCAGCATCGGTATCATAATGGGGCAACCAAGGTGCAGGGTTCTGGTCAAATTCGGAGGATGGATATCGAGTAGGGCGCTTTAATGGCGATGGAGAAAGCACTGTACTTCGAGTCCGGGCCCGCTGCAGGGATGGTGATGGCGTTTCAAACTGGAAGTCGGAGGAATGTGTCGGGGAGCCATGTGTCTGAGCAAGCTCTGAATCGGTCTCGGTACTCGCATCAGCGTAAGTAATTGTCTTTGATGTGACGGTACCATCTGAGGCAACCCGTGGAGGGCTGTAAGGGACGACCCGGATTCCGAGACGGTTATTCTGAGAGTTGTTCTGATAGTTACTACGCTCATGTAATGCCTTGCGCGGCAGAGAGCTCGACGGTGAGACCGACATGCTCTATGCACGAGGCGATAATAACTGTGATTTCCAGGACATCAGGAGACCCAGAATAACTTCCTAAAAAAACGATTGCCCTCGAAATTGGCAATACAATGCAATGTAATTCAGTTCAAGATCTCGATCTTGAACAATATCGGGCTGTCGAAGTCGAGCTCGGTCGGGGCCGGAGGTGGGTCAATGAACTCGGAGGTCACGGCCGGGGGACTCAGACAATGGCAAAGATATTAAAAACCACCAAAATAAAATCGACGATATTATTGAAGCGTCCAATGTTCCAAGGAATAGGATCAAGCAGAGACCAAGCAATTCAATGCGAAACGAGCCGGGGTAGATCGAGTTGTCGCGAGGTGGATCGTTGGTGTTTCGTCCGTAGGAGGGAAAAAAAGACTCGTTCGATATAACAACTGAAGAATTAATTACCAAAATTGGAGGGAACCAAAAAGAAGAAGAGCAAGACAAGAACAACGATTAACGACTAATGAGTCTAGATAAAGAGTGTGTTGAATATCAAAGGCTTGAAAGAGTGACTGGCCAGTGGCCGATTATAGCGAGTGTATGTAGTTTGGTTGGAAAAGCACGAAACGAGAGGCGGAAAGAGAAAGACAAGATCATGGGGAAGGGACGGCGGGTAAGTTAGCTAAAAGGGAAGCAACGGTCCCTCCACATGCGACCAACGGCGGCAGGAGCAGCGGCCTACGGCGTGCCTGCTTCCTGCTAACTAAACTGAACTGAACCTTGGAAGGTGGACTGTGGACAAGCTGTACTGTGGGTATTCCAGCTTCTCGTCTTGCTGGTCTTACAGTAGCAACAGTACTACCTTGTCCAAGGCACAGCCTAACTCTCGCGGTAATAATGACTAAAGAATCCAGGACCAGACGAACGACGAGGGTATGGAACGATCCGAGCACACAGACCTCACAACCTCTCACCCTTACAGAGGCTCTTGACACAAGCAATTGGTTTGGATCATTGACGTGTACTGGGCAAAACCACATCAACCAGTGGTTGCAAGCGCCATTCTGCAGCTAGCGGCCTTGGGATATTACCTTCGCTGCAGCAGGGTTGCCCCTGCAGACGGGGCGCGGCGACGATGGGACCGTTGGAGGACAAGGGGTTCTTGGTCAAGCTAGGAGACCTGAGGGAGATAGGGGCGCTCTGACTGACGCTGTGGACTGGGAAAAAAAAAAGAGAGAACAGGGCATGGAACGACACCGCAACTTTGACGAAGCAAGGTTGAGTGACTGAGTACAGAGGTTTTCACAACTTGAGCATAATTCAAGCACGAGAGAAGAGGACGAACCAAATCCATGAGAATAAAAGGAGAAATCTCGAGACTGGTCTTCAGGACCTATTCTGAGCTCTGATTTGTCCTCCTCAGCACACCTTCAACTTTTAGGCACTGCACTTGGGGTTGTGCCGTTGTGGATCGGATCTATGAACTGGAACTGTTTGGACTGTACTATCGACGCTATTGCGGGGAGCCTCTTCCTGTGTGTGTCCAATTGGCAATAGCTCCGGCTACGTTGTATCGTAAGATACCAATGGCATCTGTCTTGCTGCAAGACAAGACTTGGATACCTTGAGCAAGCCCCTTCGGCAGCAGGGAAACATTGTACCTCGAAACAAGATGCCAAAATTAACTCATCAAGTAGTCTCGTGAACTGACGGTAAACCTACCTCAGTCTTTTTGTCGCTTAGGATCAGGATCTTCAGTTTTTCTCCTCCACTACGGAACAGACATGGCCTGGAGAAATTACTGGACCACCTCTGCCAGGTGGCAGGCCATCAGTGGTGTTGACCCCGGATATGATGAAGCACGTACAGATTCTATAATTATGAGACGATTGAGAAGCAATGGGCGGGTTCAGCTATCATCAGCCGTTCAATCGGATGAAATTCTGGAAGAATTGAGCGTTCAACCTGAAAACTGCAGTTACTCAAGTACAGTTGTCCTTGAAGGTCACTATTTTGGCCGCCTATGATGTTTTCTTCCAGGCGCTTGTTTTACCTAAAGTGTGTTCCAGTTGCTTCTGAGCTGGCAAGATACATCTCTCGACTAACAAGCTCAGTGTATATTAGTGTACCTTGATCTGGATCAGAGTTCTGTCTTTGCGCCAGTTCCAGTTTAACTGCAGAGAAACAGCGCTTTTCGAAACCAAGACCTGCAGAAAGGTCAAAACATGCAAAGTCTCTCCACTTGGTCGCCCCGAGGTCTACAGAACTCCTTGACTCTTGCGTTTGGGGCAACGAAAACCATTCCTCAAAGACAGTCGGCGATATAACCAGACATCTTTTTAGGCTTCGGAGGCTTTGCCGCGCGCAATCTCACATGTGCCTTTTCAACGTGTCAAATTCGCGTTGTCTGCTTATTGGATCGCGTGTACTCTGTACATACATGTATGTTATCTTTAGCATTCGGCTTACATGGGCTTTTTGAGCCGCTTCGATCTGTTCCGGGGCAAGGGGTTGAGGCTAACTACTGGCTCCTGAAGTTTCGGAGGGTGACATGAGGCTGCTGTTCCGAACAATTGCAGTCAACTTTCGAGATACTCATCATTTTCACCTTCTCTTATCGTCCAAGGAGAACAAAAGTTGAGACTGCCAACGTTACCATGGTCTCATCATGACCCCTTCTGCGATAACGAAAGCAGGTTCATCTCCTTTTCAATGTGCCTCTGCAATGTCACCGGCTCACTCGTAGTCGGTACGGGTAGATGTTAGCTCTGATCATCGCGTCTTTCAGACGATCATCCGTTCTTGGGGATCCAACCAGAGCCATCACCGCCTCTCCTCTGTTCTTAGCACCCAAGTCCCGCTGGACCTAGCTAATGCAGGTACCGTTGCTCATTGGGGGTCCTCTTGACTCATGTTCTTGCCCTGCAAGTAAAAGGGATATATCCTGGAGGTGTCTAGAGCATGGCTGAGCTTGGGGAAAAGTCTTACCTGGCCCTGGCTGAGATATTCAAGACTTTGATGCATTCTAGTCATGCACGAGTGTCGATGAATATTTTGTATTTTCACAATAACATTGCTCTAGCATTTTAGTTTGGTCGTTTAAGCTAGTTTTGACCCTGCATTCGTGTCTTGTTCTCAGGTTATGAGATGTTTTATACCATCTCCACATCATTTCGCTTCGTTCAATAACTCTTGTGCCGTGCAGCTCACCGCATGTAATAATGCATACGACCCATGAAGCGATATGCAGAGTAAAATGAAGACGAGCAAGCTTGTGGAGGAGAAGTGTCCAGCACAATTTTTATGTTTTACGTAGTGTTTCTCAGTGCCCAAGCCAAGCCAGCCAGTAAAAAAGAAAAGTTAGGTACCTATTCTTGGATTAGTTACTGAGTAGTTAAGCGAAACTGAAGACGCAACCAACGAGGACAAACAATGGTTTTGAACAATAGGAGTTACCCAGATTGTGGCTGGTGAGGGCTTCATTTTTTTTCTTTCGGCTTTTATTTCCTTAAGCAGCAGTCTTACTTGGTTAACTCGTCGAATGACTTCTTTCTTTCTCTTACGAGAGCCACCGTCTTGCTGACTTGGTTGTGTTTGCCCTGCCCCATGGAACATTCCCGCAAGTGTCTTTTTAGCTCAATCTCTTTGAGCATCATTGACTTCTTCACTTCTTCTTCACCCTTCTGAGTGAGATATTTCGCATTCATATCCTTTTCCCAACTCGAATCGTCAGTTTTGACAACGTTGCAATGTCTATCTTGAGCTCTGCGGGGTTCGCACCGCCTCAAGCCGTAGCCTTGCTGGTGAGCCTCACATCACATCACATCACATCACAACCCCCATAAAACCTATACTCAGCCTCGTCTCATGAGTTCATTGAAATGTGCTAACATAGATGTTCAAAGGTCGTCTATTGTCTCGTCTACGTCATCCCTCTCTACTTCTCAGCTGCAACAAGGCCTTCGCCCACTCGCTCTAGAGATGCCCCTGAGGCTATCCGCGCACGCATCTTTGTCGTCTCACTCTCAACGGCGGCATGCTCCCTCGTGACGCTATATCTACTCTCGTCTCACGGCGCAATTGCCGTTGAGAAGCCCTTGCACTTCATGGGCTACTGGCCACCGGGGCTCATAGATGCTGCTCGTGCGCTTTGGCTCACGGCCCTGCTGTTTGCAGGCCCCTTGTATGAGTCTCTCGTCATCGACGGCGCGGCTCATCAATGGCTTAACCTTCAGCCTCTGAGGGATCTGTGGACTGACTGGCCAACCTGGAGAAACATGGTAGCGGTACGTTTATCCTGAAACTGTTTGATCTCGCTTTCGATTCCTTCATAACTATTCCCCCTGGTCAATCTCTTATCCCCACAGTTATCTCGTCGAGAGCCTCCTCATCATCTCACCGCTCCGCAAACCCATGTTGACTAATTCTTCTGAAGGGTCCTATTACCGAAGAATGCTTGTTCCGTTCTGCTGGTGTTCCACTACTTCTCCGTTCTGGAGCCAGCCTAACTGGCACTATCTTCATGTCGCCGCTCATCTTCGGCCTGGCTCACCTTCATCACTTTTATGAGTTCCGTATCACTCACCCACGGACTCTTCTCCCTGTGGCTATTGCACGGTCATTACTTCAGCTGTCGTACACGTCCTTGTTCGGAGCATACGCCACTTTCTTATTTTTAAGAACTGGTAGCTTGCTGGCCGTTGTGCTCGTGCACACCTTTTGCAACTGCATGGGCCTTCCACGTCTTTGGGGCCAGCTTGATCCTCACTGGCTGCCAGAGGGTGATCCGTCCGTAGCCTCGTCTAGAAAGATGTGGACTGTTGTTTATTACGTACTTTTGGTGGGCGGCTTAGTTGCTTGGTGGCAGAATTTGTACTCGTTGACCGAGACACCGATGGCGCTGGCCAAGTTCTAAGATTATCTAAATTCATGCATTTCACAATCGAATTGTTGAATAACTATCGTATGCACAAATGAGATGGTCTTCTCACAGACCACGCTATGGCCCCATCTGAAATGTCAAGCTAAATGACCTACATGAGCACTGGGGCTAGCAGTAGCCTCATTGTCCGTGCATGAAAACAGTATCCAGGTGATGGAATAGTCAACACAATTAGATCGTCATCTGGCCTACTAAAGTCCGGGAGAACCGAAAGTTGTTTCAGGGTGGAATGAGTAGAGCTTTTATTTCGTTTACAAAGCCTGACTAGGTATCTAACTATGAGGCCGCGACCTGGAAATCAGGTAGTGATCCTGGCATCGAGAAGTCATCGCTGTCATTGCTTCTCGTTCCTCGTCGATGCCGAACCGTGCCTCCAGCTCCTCTATCTCTAATCTCTGCGTCTCCTCCTCGTCCACGTACCTCCTCTCGGTGATCCCGGCCAGTATCATTACCCCTTGATCGACCGATAGATTCGCTTCTCTCGGTCGAAGCATCCTCGGGACCTCTAGTGTTCTTCTTTCTCGGCCAGAGACTTGGAAGGGCAATTTCCTGGAATCGAGGCTCGACAGCTCGCTCATCAAACCAACGGTGAAGGCGAGCTTCGACAAGTTGAGCAATCTTGGGTACGTTGTGTAGTTTGGAGCGACTACCGAGAAGGCTTCGAATTTCAAAATCCAGTCTGTAGTCGTCCAGGAAATTGAAGATCATCCTCGTGGGTGTCGATTGAGAGGGGTTGCTGGGAATGAAGGAGATGGAAAGAGTGCCACTAAATCTGATCACAGACACGGCCAGTTCCACGGGTAGAACCGCAGATAGCTTCTTGGGGTAGTTTAGGATAAGTTTTGTCCTCACGGCCAGAGTAAGCATGTCGCTCAGGTCGACGTCCATACGCGCCTGGAGACGTAGGCCATCTCTTGCTGCCGTTGCCGGATCAAACTTCTTTCCAGGAGCAAGGCTCACTCCATCTTCATCGACAGGGATAATACGGCAATTGCTCAGGATCGGAAAGTCTTCTCCCAGACTCAACTCTGTGACCCGAATCTCGTCAATGAAATCCGGCCTGGAATCTCCATTCAAGGCCTTGGTAAGTGAATCAAGAATGGCATCGTCATGCTGAGCATCACTTCGAAACTGAGCAATCGTTTGCGCAATGAGAACATTAAACCAATCGAGACTTTCAGGTTGATGGCTGTCGACATTGTAGTACGCTTTACTCAGGATCGATCCAATGGTAAGTGTGGGAGGGTTCCTGAGGACAGTGGACTTCTTACGGCTGAGAGATCTGTCCTGAGATCTATCTCCACGGTTTGCCGGGCTCCTGATACTTAGTAATGAGCGCTTGTGAGCAAGAGTCCTTGACCTTCGCTCGGTAGCTCGTAGCGAAGCTGTGACGTCTGCTGAAGGAGGATCGCCAAAGATGAAGAATTTGATGAATGCGGCCAGTACCAGAACCACGGAGAGCTGCCCGACTATCAGACCTTGCGTAAAGGATAGACTATCAGAATATCGGTCAGCTTTGGTGAGGACTTCATTGATTCTTGATTCACTTACGTCGGCTCTATCAGCCGGGGACAGGTATCTCCTTCCATGGTAGCAGAGTAAGGTGTTAGATGCTACTGAAGCCACTGTGATCTGTTTATACTGGAAGCTCCAAGCTAAGATGATTAACAAGACTGTGATACCATTTCAGCTCTTGTTGGTAATGATCTCACTGATGTCACCGAGAGCTATCATGATGAAGGTTGAGGTTGGTAGCGCGGGTTGCTCTTGTATTATGTAAGGCATCCAGGCCAGACTTCCAAAGTTGTGGGGCTCTCATCTACAGCACCTACATTAGACTACAGTGGCACTGGCATCTTAGAGGTCTCCCTGTTCACAACGTCAATCATTAACAGCAAGGAACTCTCTGAATCACGGCGCCGAATACCGCTGAAATACCTGGCATCTCTCACTTCACGACACTGCCACTCATTAAGACCTCATATAGCAACCCGGGAATAACACGTTACGCGGCGCCGGTGAGCCCCAGCCATCAACATGGACGTCGCCCAAGCAGTATCTGGGTACATCAATAAGGTGGTTACGACGAGCGATACGTCGTCTGCCAAGATGAAAATCCTCCTACTCGATAGAGAAACAGTCTCTATCGTCTCGACTGCGGTCACACAGTCTTCTCTTCTCAACCATGAGGTCTATCTCATCGACCGTCTAGACAATGCTGCGCGTGAGAAGATGCGACACCTACGATGTCTATCTTTCGTGCGGCCATCGCCAGAATCAATTCAGCTACTCATAGATGAGCTTCGTGACCCCAAATATGGCGAGTATCACTTGTACTTCACAAATGTTGTCAAGAAGTCGTCCCTGGAACGCTTGGCTGAGGCTGATGACCATGAGGTGGTCAAACTGGTCCAGGAGCACTTTGCTGACTACAATGTCATCAACCCTGATCTCTTTTCTTTCAGCTTTACTCTTCCACAACAGAGAATCTGGGCAGGGAGTCCTGATACATGGAACCCTGACTCCTTACAGCGATGCTCAGAGGGTTTAGTTGCTGTCTTACTCTCACTCAAGAAAAAGCCCCTCGTCAGGTACCAGAAGACAAGCCCCTTGGCGAAGAAGCTGGCGTCAGAGGTCCGATATCTGATGACCCAAGAGGATTCACTATTTGACTTCCGAAAAGTTGATACTCCTCCCATTCTGCTTGTGTTGGATCGCCGGGAAGATCCGGTGACGCCACTGCTCACACAATGGACATATCAAGCCATGGTCCACCATCTCTTGGGTATTCAGAACGGGCGCGTCGATCTGAGCGATGTTCCAGATATTAGCCCAGAGCAAAAGGAGATCGTTCTATCACAGGATCAGGACCCATTCTTCAAAAAGAACATGTTTCTGAACTTTGGCGACCTTGGAGGCAACATCAAGGAATATGTTGGCCAATTCCAGTCGAAAACCAAAAACAATGAGAACATCGAGTCAATATCGGATATGAAGCGATTTATCGAAGAATATCCAGAATTCAGAAAGCTCTCTGGCAATGTCAGCAAGCATGTTACCCTGGTATCAGAACTCAGCAGACGTGTAGCTGCCGATAATCTCCTAGAGGTTAGTGAGCTGGAACAAAGTCTAGCTTGCAACGACAACCATGGGACTGATGTAAAGGTATTGCTTGTCCTCTTGAATCAACCTTGAGCATGAGCTAACACAATTCATAGAATATTCAGCGACTCATTCAATCACCAAATGTTACACCAGAGAGCAAGGTTGGCCTTGTAGCTTTATACGCTCTCCGCTATCATAAACACCCTTCCAACACTTTGCCCATGCTTCAGGACCTCCTTGTCGCTGCCGGAAACGTATCTCCGCGAGAGGCAGATTTGGTCAGCAAGGTGACGGCGTATCACAACTCCCTTCAAGCGTCACAGTCTCAGGGCGGAATATCAGAAATCTTCGAGTCGGCAGGCATTTTCTCTGGTACTGGCAGCCGCTTCAAGGGTCTCAAAGGAGTAGAAAATGTCTATACGCAACACAGCCCATTGTTGGAGACTACCCTACAGAACTTGATCAAAGGACGACTCAAGGACCAGCAATACCCCTTCGTCGAAGGTGGTGGTACGACCAAGGACAAACCTCAGGACATAATCGTATTCATCGTTGGGGGTGCGACTTATGAGGAAGCCAAGATGATCGCAGAGCTGAACGCGTCGAGTCCAGGCGTCAGAGTAGTTTTAGGAGGTACAACGATTCACAACTCGGCGACATTCTTGGAGGAGGTGGATGACGCTGTCAGTTCATGGCCAGAGAGCCGTGGTAGGAGGTAGGGATCATGGTCATATGAGAAACAGTATCAATTGCAGCGACGATTTTGAGCCATTTCAGATCAAATACAGATAATGTCAACCATTGAATTGTACCTAAATTTATTGTCTATTGCAAGGATGTATCATGATGAAGTGTCGATGTGGGTGAGAGAACGCCAATTTGTAACCTGATTGGATGAAATGTATTAACTAAACCCGTATCCGTACTTTCTGATGCCAACACCCAAAATTTAGAACTTGCTCCCGTCATGAGGCCAAATTTTACAACGACAACAACATGAAATGCGTGCGCTACTAAGACCTAGGGTAGCCGCACTACGGCACCAATGGACAATTACAAGACGGCGGCACCTTGCGACTGTTTCCAGTGATTTCCAGTATGTCTCAGCAAACAATATCTCGTCGTCATGACATCCATCGCATCGCAAATCATCACTGACACCCCGCTCTAGACCTTACGATGTCGTCGTAATCGGAGGCGGCCACGCGGGCGCTGAAGCATGTGCTGCTGCTGCACGATCTGGCGCAAGAACAGCCTTAGTAACGCCGAAAATCGACAATCTAGGAACGTGTTCCTGTAATCCGAGTTTCGGCGGTATCGGCAAGGGCACAATAATTCGAGAGATTGATGCGCTTGATGGATTGGCGGGGAGGATCATCGACAAATCAGGTGTTCAGTTTCATACTCTGAATCGGCGAAAAGGCGCTGCTGTCTGGGTTCGTCGACTATTCGGATTCGTTGTTGGCAGAATCAGTGGCTAATAAGACTCGCAATAGGGACCCCGCGCGCAAATCGACCGAGAGCTCTACAAGAAACACATGAAAGACGAACTCTCTTCGTATCCGGGCCTATCGATCGTGCTCGACAGCGTGTCCGATATCGTCACTGAGCCACAAGAATTGTTCGAAGGCGCATCAAGTCGCATTGCGGGCGTGCGCCTGGAGTCCGGTCAAACTCTCCCAACAAAAAAGGTTATCATAACAACAGGGACATTTCTCGGAGGCGAAATACACATCGGGCTGACGGCGTATCCAGCTGGTCGACTCGGTGAGGCGGCGACATTCGGGCTGAGCAAGTCATTGCGTGATGCGGGCTTCGAGCTGGGACGCCTCAAGACTGGCACGCCCCCCCGAATCGACGCAGCGAGCATAAACTATGATGTGCTGGAGAAGCAGTATGGGGATGACCCACCGACGCCATTCAGTTACCTCAATGAAACTGTGGCGATTCGGGAGCAGATGACTTGCAGTGTGACGTACACGACGGAGGAAACTCACCGGATAGTGCGTGAAAACCTTGATAAGACGATACACATTCGAGAGACAGTCAAGGGCCCACGCTACTGCCCCTCTCTTGAGTCAAAGGTCATTCGCTTCGCCGACAAGGAACGACACATCGTTTGGCTCGAGCCCGAAGGTTTGGACAGCTCTGTCATCTACCCCAATGGTTTGTCCATGACAATTCCTGCTGAGGCGCAGGAGGAGGTCTTGCGCACAATCCCAGGCCTCGAGAACTCAAAAATGCTTCAGCCCGGGTACGGTGTTGAATATGACTACATCGACCCACGTGGTCTGAAGTCGACCCTGGAGACAAAAGCCATCAGTGGTCTGTACCTGGCTGGTCAAATCAATGGCACGACTGGGTATGAGGAGGCTGCTGGCCAAGGTGTCCTTGCGGGCATTAACGCCGGTCGTTCGTCTCAAGGGTTTCCACAGGTTTTTCTCTCGAGAGGGGATGGGTACATCGGCATCATGGTGGATGACCTTATCACGAAAGGCGTCACCGAACCTTACCGGATGTTTACCTCCCGAAGCGAATTCCGCATGGCATCACGTGCTGACAATGCTGATGTTCGACTGACATCCAAGGGCTATGGGTGGGGTGTCATATCGGATAAGCGCTGGAGTCGTTTTCGTGATGAGAGGCAGCAGATTGATGAACTCACTAAGCTCTTGCAATCAGTATCATTGAGCCCCTTGCAGTGGATCGAAAAGGGGTACCATATGAAGCGCAACACTCAGCGTCGCGATGGTATAGATGTCCTCCGTCTCTCAAACCCCGATACACGCGTCGGTATCGAACAGCTTGCACCAGTCATCCCAGGCGTAATGGACTTTCCACCTCGCGTACGACGTCGTGTTGAAATCGAATCATTTTACGCACCGTATATCAAAATCGCCGAGTCGGAGCGCAAACAGCTAACAAACGATGAGCGCGTCAAAATACCCCTTGATCTCAACTATGACAACATCCCTGGGCTTGCAATGTCAGAGAAGGAGGCGCTTAAGGCAGCGAGGCCAGAGAACCTCGCACAGGCGAGGCATGTTGAAGGCGTGACTCCGTCGGGCAGTTTACGTCTACTCGCTCACGTTCGTCGAAGGCCTGAAGCATACTTGTTGGAGAAGGATGACTCACGTGGGCGCCGGACACAAAGGACGAATAAGAATCGAGGCAGTGTATAAGTTAATGAGGATCAATCGCATATAGCGTTTCGTTGAATAAGGTATTTAAGAGGGAACAAGAGAGGTCTTAAATAAATCTCTCAAAAGTCAAATATTTCTGCCACAATCTCAGCATTGTTGTCTCTTTGGGATTTCGAGTCCGAGAGTTCGACTATGCAGGTTAAGATTTGTTCTATCATCATCGACGCTAGTGTTTGTACATAAAGGGGGTATATGCAAAATTTTCAATCAAGCTCAAGCTCAAAGTTCTGTTCGAACCTTGCTGAACTTTGTCTCGTTCGAATTTTGTCTTTTCGTTCAAACCTTGCGTTTCCTGCTTCTGGATAGCCCTAGGCACGGGCCGTGCTAGGTGAAGCCAAATTTGTGGCCTCTTCTGTTCCTATCGTGGTCTGCAGCTTGATAGACTCTGAACGACGATATCAAATCAGGATTTTTTAGAGTTTTGCTTATTAAGGATTTTCACTGCATCCTTTGTGTAGATGTAGCTTGCACCGCTCCAAATGGTGGTAGCAGCAACAACGTATCTGGATGCTTTTAGAATGAGAGTTATGGAAAGTCAGTATGGTTTGACTTACTGCATGACTGTCAGGGCAGATGACAAGTCGGTGCTCAAGAGGGGTGCAGCAGTCGTGACTCCGACGAGCGCAAGTTGCAAGAAGGTGTTGTACTTGCTGATAGTCGTGGGGCGAACTTCAGCTGATGGAAGTGAAAAGTCCCAATAGCGGGCAAATGTCTTTGGTGGCGGGAGAGAAATCCATCGGTAGTAAATTGCAGAAATAGCGAGGCCGACATCACGGCCCAGGATGATGCCAGCGCACCAAACTTTTACACATTAGTTTTTGAGTTATCAAGGATCACGAGGGAGCATGAACGCACTCGGTAATGCGCCCTTGGCAGCCAGACAAATGGTCAGGATCGTCATCAGAGTTTTGTCTGCCATTGGGTCAATGACTGTGCCCACGACTGTCTTGCTGTCCCAGCGACGCGCTATCCATCCATCGAGGAGATCTGTTACGCCCGCATAGGCAAAGAGGCCGACGGCCCATGCGTGCTGGTCGTGAAGAACGAGGTAGCCAATGACCGGGGCAGCGACGAGACGTGTGAAGGTTAGGATGTTGGGCAGCGTGTAAATGTCTTCGTGCAGGACGGCAGCAGGGCGTGACGGCTTGGTATCGTTATCGTGCTGTATCACAGGTTGACTATGTGCAATTGGTCAGTACAATATAGTCAATCGGTACAACTGGACCTTGCACTCACCCATGAGGCTTGTCCTCTAGCTTTGTCTGTTGGGGCTTATGATCCAACCATGATTGGGCCTTTGTGAAGAAGAGGCATCGCGGGGTTGATGCTATCGTGGGTCTGGGCGCGGACCTCACGAGAGCAGGTATCGATCTTGCAGTACACCTCGTCGTCGTCGCGCGCCAAGCCAATCTGGCAGAGAGACTCATCTCTGCGCTTCTTGTCCTTTTCGAAAACGGGCGCTGCCCAAGCCCTCTCGTCAGTCGCTCAATTGGTCCCGGGGGGGAATAATCTTGTTTGGTTGTTCTGGCGATGTAGTTGGAGCAAAGTTGGGAAACCCCGTTTAGAACCCCGGACCCCGCTTATCTCATGTCACGATTTGGTGCTATCGAGATGTCACCAACTTCGCGATCTTGCATCTCATGATCTATCATTGAACCTCATACCGTTAATTATCTATTCATTCGACCTTATCGATTTCAGACCATCATATGTCATGAATTTCTGGAGCGTCTGCTAATTTTCCAAGGCCCCCTTGTTTTTGAGTTTGTCTCAAACCCTGTTGGTAAGGAAGCCAGTATCATTGGTTGCGAAACTCTTCAGTAAAATTGTAGTTTGTGACGAGCAAAGGCAAATCGGATAATTAACGCATCTAAGCATTTCTTGCACAAGTAAACGTTTCACAGGGTTATACAAAGGGTTATACTTTCTACGTCTGTAAATTTGAGTTGAGATTGCCAACATTGCTGCTGAAGATGCTCAAAGATTGGAAAACATGGGCCTACCCTAAAGTGCTGGTTCAAGCTAACATGGAGTATGCCAACTGCCCAGTTCCCAGGAGATAGCAAGCAGGATCGAGAGGTCCGCATACCAGGACATTTTGGAGGGGCATCGTGAACTCCCCGAAAAACTGGCCTGGTACCATAGCTGTAATAGGTGGTAAGGACGGACAGCCAAATCAGGATGAAGACATGTCGGTGGCTTCTCAGAAGAGCGCTCCGGATTACAATATGACTATGATCATTAACACGGTATCTTTCCACAACACTCTTAGTCGTCGCGGGGTACTTTTCGTATCACGGCCATTCTGGTTTCCCGCACTGCAGCGTCGTAGTACAATAACGCTGTGTAAGTGGTTGGGGTTGACCAGAGGCGCAACTGGGAAAGCTGGTGGCTGTTTCACAGACGTCACTATGTTCCCACATCTTAGGTATTGGAAATCATTAGACCGTAGATAGGCCGCTAAAAACGAAAAGAACTACGCAGATGCCGAAGGGACTGATATGGATCGTCTGCTAGAAAATGGCTCTGGCGTGAAAGAGATTGATAATCTTCGTCGAGGTCGAGATCGAATTGACAGGCTTAGCCTGGCAGACTGGTGTTTAGGGCGTAGCGCTAACACTGAGGAACTGGCAGATCAATCAATCCAAAGAATGTGACGCGGTTCCACGTGACCCCGCGTTCTCACCTTCCACGTCCCTTGAAGAGACAAGGATCATAGACAGGGATATCAAATCGATAACTTAACTCAGACGACACCCAAAACATTAAACCATAACTCCAGATTCTAAAAATCAACTTCAAACCGTCACCCGAAACTCAGTCGATCGGGCCAAACTCTTGTTCTCAAAACCGCTGGAGTCAAAAGGCAAAGATGGCTGGGTCCCGAGAGGATCCCGTCGAATTGGGGAGCGACATGGACGAAGATGAAGCGCTACGCTATGCTATTGCCCTTTCACTCCAGGAACAGGAGGAACAGGGAGACCAGAGTTCGCAGATCCCGAGCGCCTCAACCTCGACATCCCACCGGAACGGGACTGGTTCGGGCGGGGCCTCCTTGGGTTTGCTCTCGCTTGATCGCAAGAAGATGGAAGAGGAAAGGCTGCAGAGGTTAGCCAAGCGGCGCCGCTCACCAGAGGACGAAAGAAGTGTTGACGAGGTCCCGGCGGCAAAGAGGATGACACCATCCGAACCTTCCAGGCCTGTAACCGCAACGGCAACGGCACATATGTTACCGAGCTTCGTCCCCTATCCCAAAGGTGCTATCAAAAGAACTTGGGCCAAAGGGTACCCGCGGACTTCCGATGATATCAAGATCGAAGAGGTGTTCCAGAAAGACAAGCTGGAGCTTGCCCTTCTAAGCTCGTATCAGTGGGATGATGAATGGCTCATGTCCAAAATTGACCCGAGAAAGACCAAGCTGTTGCTCCTGGCATTCGCCGATAGTGAAGCCCAGGTGTGTATCAATGACCAGTCCTGACTCGTTTGGGATATCCCTCGCTGGACCCCTCAAATAAGACAAGACTAAGAGGCTGACGCCGAAACCTGCCGCAGAAATCAGAGATGCAATCAAATGCGCCACCGGGAATCAAGTTCGTCTTTCCGGCAATGCATGGGCCTGGGGCTATGCATTCCAAGCTGCAGTTGCTAAAGTACCCTGACTATCTTCGAGTTGTGGTCCCAACTGCCAATCTCGTCCCCTATGATTGGGGGGAGACTGGCGTCATGGAGAACGTGTGTAGCTGAACCGAGGCGATTTTGGTGCCGTCCTTGACCGGATTGCTAATGAGTTCTCCAGATGGTCTTCCTGATCGACCTTCCTCGTTTGAAGGACCCCGCGAATTATCGGCAAAGCACATTCAGCACCGAGCTCGGCCGATTCTTGTCAGCAGCTGGCGTTGGCGAGGGCATGGTCAGCAGCCTCGCTAACTACGACTTCTCACAAACAAAGCACCTTGGCTTTGTGTACTCCATGTAAGCCTATCAAGACCTTGGAGACTGGATCATGCATGGTCTGATGATCATCATGCTTGACCCGCATGAACGATGCACTGATACTAGATTATAGCCCTGGTGGACATCAAGGAGATTCCTTAAAGCGAATAGGTCAGTGGACGTGTAAGTTTCGATGAATGTTGTGCAACAACGGCTCATGTCATATAGGATACAGCGGGCTGGGCACCACTGTGGCTGCTCTTGGGCTAGCCACTGACCAACCAATCGAAGTGGATTTTGTCGTGGGTACCATTAAAGTCGCATACCAGTCTAGAGAGCATTGATTCTAACCACGGATGAGCCCTTACTTCAGTGCGCCTCTCTTGGATCGCTAAACTACGACTTGGTTGGCGCAATCTACAATGCATGTCAAGGTGAGGAGACGTCGATACTGTATACCCCTCTTTTCTATTTACCACACACATAACATTCACCTGTAATGGATGTGGACTGACGAGTGGTGAATTGCAGGAGATGATGGCATGGCCGAATACAAGTCAAGAATAGGCCGAACGGGCGCAGCATCCAAAAATAAGGCGTCAAACCCGTGGCAGAAGAAGCTAAAGGACCGTTTCCGAATATATTTTCCGACGGATGAGACAGTTGGCAGAAGTCATGGTGGGCGTAACGTAAGTTTACCTGGAGCATGGCATTGCATGGATGGATGATCTTGGATAAACTGGAGGATCCTCACATGCGACAAGAAAGACGCAATGAAAAGCCAACGCTAACTTGTGAGCGCGCTGATGCAGGCTGCGGGCACCATCTGTGTCCAGCCCAAGTGGTGGCGGTCGCCAACCTTCCCCACTGAGCTGGTGCGGGACTGTGTTAACACCAGAGATGGGCTTTTGATGCACAGCAAGATGATCATGGTATCACAGACGCAAGCGGGAAGTCAATTGCAAACGCGACCGCAAACGCGACCGGAGCCGCGACACCACGATTCAGGGCCGGCTGCCGCGGAGCCGAAAACGGAAGAGATGTCTCTTGGCTGGGTCTACATTGGCAGCGCAAATCTGTCAGAAAGCGCATGGTGAGTGAGACCCTGACCCTGCCCCCAATCGAACCCCCCCTCTTTTCTGTAAGACATGGGGGGAAACTTGAGACAACAAGGCAGCAAGCGAGCGAACATCAACGGCCAGTGCGATGGTGCGGTTGTTTAGATAGTGTAGCGCGCTACTAGCTGCCTCTTGAGGAGAATTTCAGCATGACTGGCACGAAACTGTGACCATTTCATGAATCTAACGCTGACGGTTGCGGCTACGTTGTGCCATACAGGGGCCGCATTGTCAAGGACCGAGCGACAGGACAGCCAAAGATGAGTTGTCGCAATTGGGAGAGCGGTGTTGTAGTGCGAATTAGCAACCCCAAAAACAGCAGCACCGTCTCTGCCAGCTTCAGCACCAGCGCCAGCGCCAGCGCCGCCGGTGCCAGTTCCAGCACCAAGGTCAAGGCGGCAGAGGGCCAGGCACGGTCATCGGTGCGGGCGGGGAAGATATCGGCGGAGCCGGACAAGGGATGTGATACGAGCCAACACAATCATCACCACTCCCAGATGCAGAAGCAGAATCAGAAACAGAAACAGGAGGAAGGGCTCACGGACGCAGATGCACACACAGATTCAGACATGATGAGCGGCGCTGTTTTCGAGGGCACAGTCCCAATACCAATGCGACGACCAGGTCGACGCTATCGTGAGGGTGAAGAGCCCTGGTTTTACAGTGTGCAGGGCTGATCGACCAGGGCGCGTTTGTTAGCCATTTCTGGAGCACTAAGCGATCAAAGTTGAAGAAGAAGTGCAGAAGATGCACTGAACAGGCCATAGATGTTGGGGACGGCAGTTGTGAATAACCCTGTCATCTCAGTTTGATATTACGGTATTGTAAGATGGATTGGATGGGCGTTGGCCTCTGCGCAGTACCGTATCAGCCGTATGTACATATCTGGCAATCTGCAGAGGCTCACGTTTCGGATTCGGCATCACTGATCACTCGACGCAACGGTATTGCGATGCGGGCATGTGAACAGACAGAACAGGTTGATAGCAAGGTCACGCCCGTTTACCGACGATAGTGATACCACCATAAATCCCGTAAGGTGGTTAGTTTAATTACTATAGGATGGCTCTAGGGATTAATGATCCAGGTGTTTGCCAGGTCCAGGAATATAGATGGAGATGAGGAGACGTATGTAATGAGTTGATTCTCTAATAATAAGTGTTAGTATCGTGGCGATGCGATGGGATGCTATTGGGATGCGACAGGGCACAGCCGATTCCAAGATGGGAGTTGGATGATTTCAAACGGAAGACGGAAGCTCGACGAGCATCAGTATCTCGAACTGGGGCCCAGGTTTGGGGTACGTACGTAGAATTTGCAAATCAAATCATGAAGCCCAGGACAAGGTATCTCGGTACTTGGCGGGCTGATAGGTAGTAAAACCCATGCGAATGGTCTCAAGCGATGACACACGATTACAAAAGCCAATTGGGGGATCCCACCCAATGGGAGGCTGAGTGCCGCCTCGTCAGTCGGCTCTCCCACCTGTGCGTGCGCTCTATCCCAGGCCCTTCCTGCCCCTCGAGACAAAAACAGCAGAGAACAAAGGGCAAAGGGCAAAGGGCAAGGACAAGGGATAAATGGTCAGGTAAGGTAGCCAGGGTGTGGCAGCCCAGAGGAGAAAGAGTGATGGGCAGAGCAGCCAATCACGGTAAAAGGCAGAGATGGCCTGCAGTACGGAAGGTGCGACAGCCAATCAAAGGGTCCCAAAAGGTACCTGGGAAGAGGAACGGGTGGAGAGCACTAAGAGCGCCCCAGAGACCCATAAGACAGGCACCAAAGCCAATGCCGGAGGTCGCTGCATACCATGTCAATGGACTTGACCATGTTCGTTTTCATTTTCATCACTTTTCAGGTCCATGTCCATGCCTAAGACATGGGCTCCTGCTATTTTTTTCTGTTCCTGTTTGCGGGAGAAAGGTAAGGTAGCAGTGTCGGTCCGGGGAGCTGCTTGCGCGCGCGCGTTCCACAGTTATGGAATCAATTAATCAATCTGGGCAGCAGCGTCGCGTCGCAGATTCGACATGACACGGGAGGCGGTGTTTAGTCTAAATGCCGATAAGGCACAGCAGAGCATCAAACACGGACGGGCACCCATGGCATGGTATGGCATCCATGGCAGTTGAGGTGACATGATGTGAGATGACTTTTATCTACATGGAATAATTAGCTACGCCATGATATCCATCCGCATCAGACTCCGTAACTCAATTGACGCGCGGCAGGATAAGGCACGTTAAGCTAAGGCAAGGCGAGCAAGACAACCAGACCCGGGCAGACATCCAGACAGCTCGCCTAGGACTAGACGAGGAAGGCCAAAATACAGGGATCAGCCAGGCACACACCAACAGCAAGCCCAAGCCAACCCAACACCAGCGAGATTTGCATATCCAACGGGCGAAGGAGAAAATCTGGAATCACAAACTAAACCACGAACTGACTAACTAAGCCCACTAACTGATCCTCTACTACTTCGGCATTTTCCTATGATTTCATCTTGATACAGACCTACAGTACATACGAGCAAAGCCAAGAGAAATGGATAAGTCGGAATTCATATCAGGGGCCTTTCGTTTTACACCCCCAACAATAGAAGAGCCGACTCAAGAGTGAGTGATACTGTCACGTACTCAGCCCAGAAGTGATGTGAGTGAGCTCAGAGCTGTGACGGTTGTCGGTTTATGGGGGCTGTGTTGCTTTGGCCCTCCTCTCTTTCTCCAATGTGGATAACAGAAATCATCCCAAAAAGAAAGAAGAGGGGTTGATGAGTGTCAAAAACAGCACAGACGAAAAGTGATGATGAACATCCAATGACATGGCGGCTCAAACGAGTTCGCATATGATGGTGTCGAATGTCGTCCAAGATGATACATACAGTAACAAAGAATATAATGGCATTGTTGGAGAGGGATGATTTAATTGTTCTGCGGCGCCAAATCAGACACATCACATACATGCCACACACATATCGAGATAGACGAAAATCATAACTAGAGGCATTGTGATGGAATATTCTCAAGAAAGAACGGCATAGTGCGTCACTGATGCATTAAGGAGGGTGAAGGGAGGAGGGTACCTAGGAGGGGTGCAGGGGGGTGATGGATGTGTCCCCAGGCGTGTCTCTATGAAAGCTAGATCCACCTCCAAAGCACAGGTTCTCATGAAGGTAGTTCCAGCTGGGATGGGACGGGGGGATGGAGATGTAAGTTTTCATTGCATTAAGCTTCCCGTAGATTTGGAGAAGGGCTGAACAGCTCTAGTTAGATCTGAATCTTAGAACTTAGGTAGTGAAGAGTTTCTTTTGAATTGAAGAAAGCATATTGAGAGAATGATTCGCCCAAGCCCTTGCTGGAATAGAGATCGAACTCTTCTAGAGTGAGACACAGACAGACCTCGAGGGAACCCTAAAGATGATGGCAGGTACCCAAGTGACCTCGACACAGCTCGCAGTCTCTCGGCCGCATACAAACAGCCCGCAACTATCTCTAGAGTAGATCCGGACAACAGCCACCACCCACTTCAAGAGCACCTAGGTGTGAGACACCACCACACGCACGTACCGATACGGGAGGCAGGCTCTTGAGGTACTTCGGCACATGCTCCGACAGCGCGATGAAGGGGCTTTGCTGGGGTATCTGTTCAGTCAGCGGAAGTACCTACCCAATCTTGAGTGGATTCAGGACGTTTCCAATGGGCCTTGACCCCTAGGAAGGTAAGGTAAGGTAAGGTAGAGACGACGACTGGAGGTGTCTGTGTGGAGACAGGCAGGTACCTACCGTACCTCGTAGGTAGGCGGGCGGGCGGGTACGTACCTTTCCCATACCCTGCCGTACATCTTTTTGCTGCCCTACCGACTCAATACCACCTGTATGAACTGCCGTATGTACTCTGGTACTGACTGACTGACTGACACTGACCCGACCTATCCCCAATATCCCTGAAGAGAGAGATGGCCGCGGGTACCGTCCGTAGGGAGGTTAGGACTAGGTAGGTACCTGCTTGCAGTTCCATTTCCCTCCTCCTCCTTCCTAGGAGGTCCAAACGACATGGATGGCAATGGCAATGTCAATGAATGAATGACACCCGTGGATTTGGAACGGCATCTAAGCTGAAGGAAAGGCCGGATACAGACACTACCCAGGATGTGGTTGACGCAGACGGGAGCCAGCCAACAACCTAAGTGCCAGGCCCCAGATTCAAGCCCAGGGAATTACTAGGTACCTACCTGCTCTTTCCTAAATCCAAGCTTGAGTCCATCCATCTATGCCATGCCATGGAAGCGCAAGTGCAGCTAGCCTTTAGCCTGCCCTGTAGTGTAGATTGCCTACTTGGGTAAGTGCATTGCATTGCATTCGACTACATTACATCCAAGCCATCCACTTACACCTCAACTTCACTTCAACACATTTTCCTCCACATTGCTTGCTCTCTTATTCTTGATAATTTTATTCTTTGTTTCACCGACCATCAATCCATTGTGGACTTTGACGAACTGGCTTTCACAGTCATTGCCACCTGGCGCTTAAACAGCGCACACACGCGGCTTCTGTGGCTGGACTCGACGCCCGATCAAGCTTTCAAAATTGCTTCAATATTGTGGACTTTGACAAACTGGCCTTCACAGTCATTACCACCTGGCGCTTAAACAGCGCACTCACGCGGCTTTCACAGTCATTGCCAGCCACATGGCGCAAAACATCGAACCTTAGGGTGTCAAAATAAACTTGGTAATCCAAGGACCACTGTTATATAAACCCGGTCATTGCCAACTTGAGACTAGTCTGCACTCTTCACTCTTGCACTCTCGCACCCGCACCCACATCCGCACCCGCTTACTCACACTCACACTCACACTCACACTCACACTCACACTCACACTCACACCTACACTCACACCCATACTCATACTCGAACTCGAACTTATACTCGAACTCATACTCGAACTCATACTCGAACTCTTACTCGAACTCATACTCGAACTCTTACTCGAACTCTTACTCGAACTCTTACTCGAACTCTTACTCGAACTCTCACTCTCACTCTCACTCACACTCACACTCACACTCATACTCATACTCACGATGTCTGGATCATCCACCAACTCTCCCAACATGTCTGGAACCATGCAGCCTCGACAGACATTCACACCAAACCACCCATCCACGATCTCTCCTCCCGCCATGTCTGGAACCACGCAACTTCAACCGACGTACCATGGTTACGTCCGCGATACTACTGATGCCCTGATCCTTATTGAAGCATGTCTCTCTGGCAGACTGCTTCATGTTCCTCGTCGACCACATGACCGTGAGCGTCAAAATGTCATTAAAAGTGGTAGTATCTTCGTTTACGAAGAGCATGCTTCGGGAATCAAGCGCTGGACCGACAGCATCGCATGGAGCCCTAGTCGCATCAAGGGGAACTATCTCATCTACCGCCAGCTTGAAAAGCCCTTCGCACCCGGAGAGAAGAAGCGCGCTAACGGAAAGGGAGGCAAGTCAACCACGCAATCTGGAGGCATCTCTAAACCACGACAACGGAACACTCTCCCGTTCCAACAAGGCCTGGAACTTGGTAATGAGTACCCTTCTGTGCCTAGTGATGAGGACCGCGAGCTGGTCGGTTCGCTTATCGACTCGTACGACTTCAAGGAAAATGGACTGGTCAAGAAGACTATCAGCATCACCTACAATAACGTGCCCCACCACCTCATCAGCTACTATAAGGTGGAGGACGTCAAGGCAGGTCTCTTGCCTACTCCCTCGGACGACGAACGACTCCGCGGTGTTGTTCCTCGCAACGAGCTCATGAATGGCCAGAACTTCCGCGCCCCGATCGAGGAATCAGTGGGCGGCGCCTACATGCCAGGAGGCATGAGGCATTCCATTGGTTTTCCTCACCACTCGGCATACCAGGTGCACCAGCCACAACAGGTGCACCAGCCACAACAAGTGCATCAGCCACAACAAGTGCATCAGCCACAACAAGTGCACCAGCCACAACAGGTGCATCAGCCACAACAGGTACACCTAAATAGTTACCAGCCATACAGCATGCACCAGCCATACAGCATGCACCAGCCATACGTGCACCAGGCACAGGTCCACCAGCCACCACAGGGGCAGCTAAATAGTTACCAGCTGCCCTATAATGGCCAGTGGTGGAGTACATAGTAAGGACCTCAGTGAGTACTTGCTGGCCCTGGGATAATGTGGGATGTGTATAAAGGGGGTTGAGGGCGCTGGAAAACTGGTTTAGGTAGCGATGACAGGCGTCCAGGATTATTGGCGTTTAATGTATATCCTTAGTAGATCGAGCTGCTCGACTATATTCTTAACAATGTTATTTATATTGATTTTAAAAGAATTAAAATTAAAAGGGCCACGCGAATGGCATTAGCTGCTATGATGAAGTCCTGTCTCCCTTGCGCTGTCTCATGAACCCAAAACGCCCGTCTTCGACTCACTATCCATGCGTAACAACATATTATTGCCAAGTGGCCATTATTAGATGAAGTACGTGCTGTCGAGCCGCATTTACCACCACTTGAACGTGCTGGTCCATGTCTTCCAGGGACCGCGCCTAGAGGGAATCTTGTTCTCAGGGACAGAGATCTCGTAACCATCGTCGACATCCTTGGAGACACTCTTGGAAGTCCACGAGTTATCGTCGGTCTGGAGCCACTTGTTGAATCGGCCCTTGTCCTTGTGGCGGTAGGACTCGACGGGTTGAGGGAGGACCTTTGTGCACTCGGTGAGGCTGTTGATATTGTTGACACCCAAGAGACTGAGACGGACATAGGCGCGTGCATAGTCCTGGGAAAACGTCAGTACATAAGTTTCACGATATAATATTTTTGAATGGTGCTTACCACATTCCAGGCGGCTTGGCCAGTGCTGCCGCTGGCAAAGGCCTCAAAGGCAGGCTGGGTAAGAGGATGGTTGGCGAGGGCCACATCACTGGGGAACTTGTAGACACGCTTGGGGGCGTTCTGATCAATGGTTTGCTGGTAGAAGAGAATATCCCAGACACCAGGAGTGCTGTCCTGAGGGTCACCATCACGATCAATGTTGGTGTGATGCTGCTGAGAGGTTGTGTGCGCACCGATAAGGGCAACAAGGTCATCCGGGCCAATTGTCTTGTCCTTGAAGAGGTTGATCAGAGTGAGAGCATCAAATTTGACGCTAGGCAGGAGACCGCCGAGGTTGGCCTTGGTGCTATCCTTGCGTCCAACGAAAGAGCGGACACGGGGACCGAGAGGGCAGGTAACGGCAGCAATATTGGAGCCCATTTGAATCAGATCAGCCATGGTGACCTGGGTGAAACCATACTGTGTGTGGTACTTGTCGTAGATGGTCTGGTAGTACTCGCCAATCTGCTGAAGACCCATGTTCTCGCCACGAGTGAGCTCGTTGGAGAGAATGATGGAGCCATCAGCACCGCCGCCTTGGGAAGCGGTCTTGAGAGACCAGGTGCCGGCATCATGGAAGCCGATGCGGACAGCATATCGAGCCCATCTTGTGCAGCGGCCAGCCTCGCCCCTGAACTTGTCCTCAAGCTCGTTAGAGATGTACTGCCAGACACAGCAGGTATCACGCTTGCAACGTTGAGAGTTCATGGAAGGGCAGCCGAAGTAGCGCTCGCGGCTGGTGGGGTTGCCGTTGCCTTGAAGGATCTTCTTGATGTCACTGCCGACTGAAGTGAGGGACTTGTCGCTGAGGGTGGCAAGGTCGCCGATGAGGGAGTGGGCATCAAAGCTGTCTCCGGACCAGCCGCTGCCGCTGCCGCTGCCACTACCTCCGCTGCTCTGGCCGGGCCATGAGCTAGATCCTCCTCCGTTTCCACTGCTCTGTCCTGGCCAAGAGCTTGAACCGCCACTGTTGGTCTGTCCAGGCCAAGAACTGGAACCACCTCCATTGCCGTTACTCTGACCAGGCCACGAGCTCGAACTCGAACCGCCGCCGTTGCCTTGTCCTGGCCACTTGCTTCCACCCCATCCGCTGCCCCAGCTACGAGCAGCAATTCGTTCGATCTCCTTGATGGTCTCTCCCATACCAGGGTGAGCAGCAGCCTCCGGGATAGGCGCAGCAGCCAGAGCAGCTGCAATGAGGACAGTAAACTTCATAGTTGCGATGAAAAGGTAGTTCGATTGTAGTGAGAAATACTAATGAGTGAATCAAGTTTGTATAAAAAGAGTGAATAGTGCTTCTAGCGAGTGCATGAGAAGCAGATTAAGAACGAGTGTGTGATGAAAAGAATGACGGGAGAAAAGAAAAGAACGTAGAGTGATAGTAGTTCACCTCTTACAGAACTCAGCAGACAGGAGAGGAGTATCACGTATATATATGCCAGAGGCCTCTGCAGTCTCCAATACCTCTATCAAGTCGCTTTGACCAGACGCCGAGAACGCTCGGCACGATAATTTCAGGCCCCTGGTCTCCCCATAGCAGCTTTCTTTTCTAGTTCTGAGACTATGAAGGATCGATCAAGAAACAAAACCCAACAAAAGACGCTTAAATAAACCCTGCAGTTCATCAACGGGACGGCATGTGTCTAGAACTCCTCAATATGGGGCCCCCTGTAGATATGACCGTCAGTGCGTAGTAATTGCTCACACACCACTCGACGTTGCAATCTCTCCCCGGTGAGAACCTGACCTGTTTCTTTTCTCTGCTTCCAATTAGAGAAAAGATCTTTACAGCTTCAGTAGTTAGTGTCGATGTCACGGTTCGTATGTGGATCCTCGTTTGCGTGGAAAGCGTTGAGGCGTTGACGCATGACGCCTCGTTCCATTAAATAACAGTCTAAAAGTTTCATGTCGGCTGAACCAATTGTTTCTTTGCGAGACTATCGGGAACCGGATGGGCCAAATCTCTTGGTAGCGGGTTTAGAACGGATGAGCCCGAGATTGTATGCCACCAGATGGGCTTGGTAGTGTAATGCCACGCTCATCTGTCAGATGCAGAGAATGTTGGCCATTGTAACGAGACCTTTACATCGAGGTCTCAAGTCATTGTTCTCTCACCGTTGAGTTCAACGTTTGCTCGTGAGTGTACGATTCGTCCCTTGCAGTAGTTCCAGGGGTACATGCAGCTGCGTGTAAGATGATACGCCCGTGTGTATCCACACACTTGTCCATCACCAACAAACAAAACATGCTCTGCCTCCTTTTGTGGTGGTTACCCGAGCGAGCACAACCACAAGATCAGGCTGGAGAAGCTTTCAGCTGAGAATCACATTGTTCTCATTGGACGTCCAAGGTTAACCGAGGCGAGTATTACCTGCTAAGGCTAGGCAAAGGCAAGCGCCTGGCGCCAAGTCTCGAATTGCGGTGGATCGAAGAAACATGATGGAAATTATCCTTGTTCAGGTGGATACGAACAAATCCGATGAAGCGGCACGAGCGGCCGAGAATCTGCTTGTATCGAACGGGAGAACTTCTCTATCTCTTGGCAGCTCGAGATGTTCGAAAGTCTCGATTGTTTGAAGAAATGGTTAGGAATCATTGTTGAAAGTTGGCTTGTTAAGGTAGATAGGAAACTGCACCATCACATGACTCAACAGCACTTGGGTTATCTCGTTATGCTTAATTAACAAGACTATTTACTATTAACAGTAAGACAAAGGTTATTCTTAATCCAGACAATACCATCACTAAACAATCACGCTCCACCAAGTTCAGGCTTCACTCACCACAACTAACAAGACGCAGTAAAAGGAGACGCCCAATCATGATGCTATGAAAAGTAATGGCTGTTCGGAAATTTACTCCTGGCTCTAAAGCGCAGTTGTGGCATCCAAACCAAACGAGCTCTTCCTTTGTTGGAATAGTCTATCCACCGTAGATAAACGGTGAGTTGAGCTATGCCATAGCTAGGGGAGGAAAGAAAACACAGAACCTCAATCTTAATATAAGTAACCCACCTACTACGCGGACCCAGTTTCTATATACTTAGCCTAAAATATTATAATAACTTTAATTAATAATAACTTTATTAACTAATATATAAGTTAAATAATATAAATTAAATTTATAATTTATTAATATTAAGTATTATATTAATATTTTTTTAAAATTCTTTTTTTTAATATTTTTTTAATATTTTTTTTTAAAATTCTTTAATTTATATTTTTATAATTTATAAATCTTTTTAACTTAAGTAATAGGCTTATAA